ACCTGAGTGTTCTGGCTCGGCTCAGACAATCTCCCGCTCTAGGATTGAAGAATTCGGAAGCAAAAAGAAAATGACATATCGCATGGTACCTAGAAGGCGTCGGTAGAATACGCTGACAACTGAGCGAGGCAAGTGATTGTAACCAAAAGAGAGAGAGAGCTGTGGGCAGATGAACACTGCCGAATAGGGTAAATCAAAACATGCTACGTGCGTGCATATGCTCACCGCAGAGATGCAGGACCGTCGGAAACTGGACCGGTCGTTTAGAGGACCAAGTGTCCACGATATTCAAAGGGTGTTAGGCTTTAGGCTGAGTATCAATACCGGCAAAGGCAAGGGAGACTGGAATGGCCATTTCCGGTTCATTAGCCGTCATCAGCCTGCCATACAGCACTTAAGGCTCAAACCCGCAACCTGTTGATCGAAAGTCCAAAAGTCTAACCAACGAGGCCCGGGCTCGTCGTCTTGCTGGTTTAGACCGAAAATACCGATAATCGTTGATGAATGGTGATCGATCGCTAACGGAACTCACGCGTTCCGCTCTGTTTTGAGGCGCATTCTGGTATCCCACCAGCAGCCGCACAGCGGTTAATAGTGTAGGCAGATATTTCCGGCAAAAAAATAGTGCATGATGAAAGAAACTGCTAGATAATAGCCCCTGCTTGGTTGACTACGCAGGTTTGGATTAGTTACAGATGTTCACTGGCACAAGAGGAAACATTTGTGAGTAATTTGCCCTTTAGTCTTAGGCGAATGATGCGGCAAATAATATCCGTACAGTACTGAACCCAAGAATAGCTAACAGGCTAGCAAGAAATGCGTAAATCTGCGTCTGACGTCCTCGGAATCAATGCGCGTAGGCACTATAGATTGGCGCTGGACGAATTCGCCAATCGCAGGGTAGTGGAGTTCGTGGAAAACTTGGGAGCACGAGGGACTTATATGGCACCTACACAGGACACTGAAATAGGAACGCCCCGCCCACCTAGCATTGGTGACCTAGCGATAAATTTCAGGAAGCATAAATATTTATGTGTGAGAGGGGCTACGTATCTTTTTAGCGATTGCCATTGTAAAAACCCAAACATTTTATTTTTTTGCCTGCCCAACAGCAAGACCTCCGACCAAATATTTGGCGTAGCGATTTCGAGCAGATGAAACATGATCTCTGTTTCATCGATTGGGTATCCGCACTCTCCAACAATGTTGAAGAAGCTTGGAAACAATTCAAAGAAATAGTCCACAACCTCATCTCCAGCCACTGCTCAATCACGCGCAAAAGACTAACGAACAGACCTCGCTGGTTGACTCCATCTTTAAAAACGAAAGTTAACAACGAGACAAAGCTGTGGAAAAGGTACCTTATTGATATTACGCATGAATCGATCAATAGTTACAAGACGCAGAAGAACCGGGCCGAGCGCCCGCAAATAATTATAGCCAGTGAGTCTTACTTTCATTTGTTATAAAACCATGGAAAAAATCATTGAGAAGGCGATAATCCATTTCCTGGAACAGAATCACCTCTTTTCCGATGCCCTATACGGTTTTCGCAGTGGTAGCTTCTGTCTTAGAAAATCTACTCTTCTCACTTGATCGCTGGACCAAATCACGTAATGAGGGTAAAATGGCACATGCCATCTAAATTGACTTCAAGAAGGCGTTCAAGGCCGTCCCTCACCAACGCCTCCTGCATAAGCTGCGCAGCGTAGGCGTTCGCGGAACTCTCTTTCCATTGATCCAAAAAATGTTGAGAAGACAGGCCCAAGGAGTACAAGTCGGTCGCCAGCAGTCCTCTGGGGTAACTGTTGAGTGGCGTCCCACAGGGCTCAGTTTTTGGTCCCACATTATTGTTGTTTGATTTCATCAACGACTAGGTCAGGGACCTAAACTGTGATGTCACCTTGCTCGCTGACGACATAAAATTATGGAAAGTTGTCCAAAATACGGCAGATGAAAACTATCTGCAAGGTAACTTGAACAGATTGGAGGACTGGTCAAAGCATTGGCTTACGCCTTTCAGTATTAGTAAATGCAACTTCAAATCGGCAGTAGTAAAGCATCCAGTCCGAAGGTCTATTCCCGAAACGGTACACCGCTGCAACAAATTGAGAGTCAGAGGGACTTGGATGTGTGGATTACTTCTCCACCCAAACTAATGCTGAACTGTATGAAGGCAGCGAAGTCGGCCAGATCTATATTATAGCTTAATGAGACGAAGGTCTAGAAACACTGCCCTATGAAAGCAGGCTGTCAACCCTCGATATATTTCCCCTTTCCTACAGATAAATTCGAGGGAACTCCATACTTACCTTCCGTAGTATTAATAATCTGGAGTGTTGCTTCGGTCCGACAATTTGTTTGCCCAGGCTTATACGCCAACTTTGCGCGAGCATCCCCTAAAACTACGCCCCGGCAAAGCAAGGATTGACGGACGAAAGTTCTTCTTCAGCAGAGTAGTTGCAGCGCGGAACGCCCTTCCCGAAGGGGTTGTCCCCTCCACCTGTGTTAATTCATTTAAGAACAAGCTGAACATGTACAGTAGCCGCCGAAGACCATGCAGCGCTAATTATGAAATTTGCCTGGACACTTTGGCATAT